ACCTATTTGTGGCAATCTGACCAGGTCAAAAATAGTATGATTGTATTCCTTGACCATATTAAAATAGTTTCAGACATTAGAATTATAATTCCAAGTGGTTTAGAAACGGAGATATAGATAAACGTAGGTTTTATTTGGCGCCCATTTTGAAATCCAAGATGGCCGCCATAATGACCTCGGATGAGGTGGTTCCTACCAAAAATTGAATGCTATGACCATAAGGAGCATGTAAAAAAAAATTCGTGCTTTTGTCCGGAACGTCCACATCCATCTGCTAAGCTGCCGGACTATTATATGCATGCACTTCCAAGAAGATATAACAAAATTCAAGGGCTTTTACATAATGTAGGTTAAGGATGTAGTGCAGCTAGAAAAGCCGATCAGCTGCAGATGTGATGTTGTCCGAACAAGGGATGACGTGAGTATCCAAAATAACAAAAAATTGCTGGGGATCATCCATCGTCCCCAAGCATAACAGGAATTGCTGCCTCTGCATCCTTCCCTTAGTTTGTAATCTGAAGAAAAAAAAGAATAAACACAAATCTGAGTTGAAATTGAAGTAGATGTAGATGGTAGTAAATGTTTTGGTCTTTGGTGCGAGGCATTAAATGTGCAATACTTTGTATGTCTGATTATAATTACCAACTCGTGTGCACACTGCTGGATAAATGACAAATGAATACAAGAAACATACCTAATACCTAAGGCTCACAATCCTGGAAATCATCGTTGGATGTAAGGTTTTACACCAGTCCTTGAACCTTAGCACTTCTTGAAAAATTCCCCCAGTGCAGTATCCATGGTGTAATTTAGCTGTCCAGATTTGGCTTTTTGCATTCATGGCCTCTTTAGCTTTGAGAAAGGCTGAGTTCTGCTCAAATTCTTATCCTGGTTATAGCTTCTCTGTCCACCCTGTGCACTGAAGAAATGCTCCTGTAAAGGAAAAGGCAAATACAGTAATAGTCATAAGAACTTGCATAGTTTATCTACCATATGAGGTAGTCTATCATACTGTATGAGGATACAGTGTGCTAATTCTGTCTATAATTACTGCCTGTTATAGTTTGCATTGCCTTTGCGGTGAATTACTGTAAGAGATAGCAGTGGAAAGGGCCATGCTGTGACATATTCAAAGGCCTGCATAGAAATGGCTGCAAATACATTTGTATTTATGCCATAACTTTATTTTCAAGATGTTATAAGGAGACATTACATAATTAATATATATACTTTCCTTAGCTCATGTTATCTCTGCACAAATTACTAAATCTATCTCTTACACTAAGGACAGTGTTTCCCATAAACTACTATTGCACAAATTACGCTCTTTTGGTTTCCACTCCAATCTTCTTGATTGGTTTAAAGCCTATTTATTAAACAGGAAGCAACGTGTAGTAATCGAAGGCGTCTGTTCTGATTGGCTTCTAGTAATTTCGGGTGTCCCACAGGGATCCATTATGGGTCCACTACTCTTTCTGTTATTTATTAATGACTTGCCAAGCGTTGCCCTGAATTCGAGCGTTGCATTATTCGCCGACGATGCTAAATGTTTCAAATCAATTGATACCGTTAATGATTGTTTCCAGCTCCAGTTGGACATTGACGCTCTTACTAGGTGGAGTAATATTTGGAAAATGAAATTCAATCCGTCAAAATGTCAAATTTTATCTTTAACACGTTCTAGAAAATCTATAAAATATGTTTATACGATGAATGGCTGTATCCTTGACAGAACCCAAACTGTTAAGGATCTTGGGGTTGAAATAGCATCTAACCTGTGTTGGGATGATCATATTCACAAAATTGTTAAAAAATGTAACATGAAAATGGGTATAATAAAGCGTTCGGTAGGATTTAATGCACCAAAAAATGTTGCATTAACATTATTCAAAGCATTCGTCAGGAGTGATATTGAATATTGTAGTTCTCTTTGGAATGGGACTTCTAAATGCAATTTGCTTAAGATTGAAAGACTTCAACGTTGGGGAACCAAATTTATTTAACTATCCCGATACTGACTATAAACAAAGGCTCAGTGAGCTTAAACTGTTACCCCTGTCTTACAGAAGAGAAATTATTGATCTTAGGTTATTTCACAAGTGTATACATGGTTACTGTGACATACCCATTGAAGATTTTGTCACCTTTAATTCTCCTACTGAAGGTTGTCGAATAACTAGATCTGCCTCTGACCAGCATGTTCTCGTGCCTGTTAAGTGTAACACTGAATCCCATAAACGATCTTTTTTTCAGAGAATTATCCCCATATGGAATCAGCTACCATACTATATTAGGTCTACAACATATATTCCATCTGTCTCTTATACACATCTAGATGTGTATAAGAGACAGCACATACTGACACTTGCACGTGGGTCTCTTGTTGCCGCTGTGCGCTGTGCAGAAATTGCTGAGTGTGTGTCATGCCAATTGTGTGGGAATGGATTTCCCCCTGATTATTTGAAACGTTGAAGTCTTCTGTGCAATTATTTAATGTATTTTTAAATAATTTCTGAATTACAATGTATGCAATATCTTTGTCATTTAATTTTTTAATTATGGAGTAATTTTGTTTTGAAATTTTTAAATTGTATTCATCCTGTTTAACTTTTTTGTGCAATATTTTGATGTTCTGGTTTAAACTTATTTTAATTCGATTTTTGTAAAAATTTTTGTTATTACTATTCTGAGTGTCTTTTTTTTTCCTATTCTTTTATTAGCCCTTGTAAATAAACATTTAAATTAACAAATAATTAATAAATTTTAATGTACATTATACAATTCTATCTTTTTGTAAATAAATTAAAAATTAATGATAATTAATAATTTAAGCTATATTTTGTACTGTATGT